AACGAAGGTGGTGAGCCTCGGTCTGCTCGCGATGAGATTCGTGGATGAGCTCTATTGGACAGGCGGTGTGCTCCGGATGCTTCATGGACGTGTCCTGACTCCAACACGATGGAAAGTAGTTGATTTGGATATAGCAAGCTCTTGAGACGGGTGGTATTCCATGTAAGACGTGTGCCTCCAACGCATTGGAGTTGAGAATTCTAGAGAGTGGACGGATGGATGATCGTTTGAGTGGAGGCTTGGTGGTCCTTTGTTCGAGGGGAGGATTGTTGGGTATACGACCAAAGTCCCACATTGGTTAGAAGTGGGGATGATTATGAGTTTATGAGGATGGACAAATATCTCCATTGGTATGAGGCCTTTTGGGGTAAAGCCCAAAAAACAAATTCATGAGGGTTTATGCCCAAAGTGGACAATATCATACCAATGTGGAGATATGTGGTGTCCATAGTCCAGCAGACCATATTCTTCATGCCCTGCCCAATTACTTAATGTGGATACTTCGTTCTATTCAGGATAGAGTAATGACAAGTTTGAGTTTTTTTTTCATTTGTAATCAATTTTTTTGGGGTTAATTCCGAGGGTCCGTTCAATTTGTTTAAATTTCATGGAAAATGTCACATCCGAGAAATTCAATTTCTACTTTGGCTATTTGATATAAAAGTGAAAATTGAATTCGAATGTTTTTTGTCAATTTCATGAAAAATGCATTCCTACGATGTACTTGTGTTTTTATTTTTCAACTTACATGAAATTGGAAAATCTTTTTACATTTGTCAATCAAACGGATCCTAAGTGAAATTAGTAGTCTCCAGTTCCAAGTATTTTCCATGAAAAAATTATAAGAAATTTAATAGAGAGAGAGAGATATGGCAAACCGCATTACTCTAAATACTACGTGTCATAAACTCTCCATGCGCTGGTGCCACCGATACCTCCTTGTGTTATTCACGCACGCCTATTCACTCCGATATATATATACTTCCATTACCTAAGTTCACAATAACATTTCTCTGCTTTCCTTTTGTCATTCTCATAAATGGAATTAATTCACACATTTCTAAACTTAGTTGCACCTCCATTTACCTTCTTCACCCTTTTGCTTTTCTTGCCACCATTTCAAATTTTTAAGTTCTTTCTCTCAATCTTGGGCTCCGTTTTCGCTGAGGATGTTGCAGGGAAGGTTGTTATCGTCACCGGTGCCTCCTCTGGCATCGGCGAGGTATGTGAAAACGTTTTAAGATAATGATACAAGAATATTAGTTGTTCAATTATGTCTAATATTGTGTATAGTGACAGACGCAAATATTTTGAGTTAACATGTCATCGAAATTCTCGAAGGGAAAACTATTCTTTTTTTTTTAATTGTCAAATGACAGTTTGTCGTGTATACCAAAGTGTACACCAAGCATTATTGATTTTCAAAATACTAGTTTGGAACGACCTATTAACATTTGTTACGGTGAGGCGTTTCACACGCCATTAACGTCCTAGAAAATTAGGCTTTGAGCACTTCGAAATGATATTAAGAATACAATATTTCGATTTCGTTTGGCACCCTCTAATGACTTCAAACAAAGACATAGAATAATGGTCGTAAAAATATATATATATATTTGCCCAAAAGTTAAGGAGTCATGTGACCCATGACACCCCTTGCGTCCACCCCTGATTGTGTACCAAACGTGAAATAATGTCAGTGGGTATGTTAGTGATGAAAATGTGTAAAAATATTGCAGCATCTTGCATACGAGTATGCTAAAAGAGGAGCGCGATTAGTTCTTGCTGCAAGAAGGGAGAGGAGTCTTACAGTACTTATAATTGAAAAGGTGAGGTTTAAAATAAATATTTTTTTAATTGTTCAAAGCAAATTAAGTAGGGATTTTTTATCTAAACACGTTTTATGACAAAAGTTACTTAAAATATTTTATTTTTTACGCTTGGCGCCTTGGCCAAACAATAACATTATTGTCTTTAGGCAAGTTTACTAGAACAAATACAATAATTTCGTGCTATTAATGCGGGGTTTTTTTTTCATGGTTTATGCAGTGGATCATTTGGTTAATAATGCTGGACTCATGTCAGTTTCTATGCTGGAAGAGGCTGAAAATGTCACTGAGTTCAGAGCAATAATGGTAAGACCTAGGGCTAAAATCCGAGTTCAACTCAATTTCGGAATTTTGTTCTTTTTTGTCAGATAGATTCATGGACCAGATTTTCAATAATGGAATATTTTAAGAATAATCCCTCAAGTACAGATTATTTTTTACAGATTTTATACAGAAATTCAAAAATTGTCTCACATGATGGTGGCTCCACATGATTAAAATAATGACAAAAATCCAACCCCACCCACCTATGGTGTGAGTTGTCTGGCATATACTTGTAGCTTGGTCCATATTTTAATATATGTTGTCGAGGATTACCAGCAAATCAAATACAAGGGGCATACCAATTAACTTGCTCACTATAAATAATATCCCGCACATAGGATACATTCTTCCTTTTTGATCGTTCAATAGTGCAGAAATAATGCTTGTTCGTTGTATATAAGAACTTTTTCTTTAAAGAATGACATGAAAATTTAGCATTGATGCAATGTTACAATTTTCATTTGTTGTTGTCCGTAGCATACACAGGACCGATTCTTATATTTTGGGGGCCTTATGCAAACTTCAAATATAGGATCCTTATGAATATTAAACCCCTATTTGATAGAGAGTAAAATCAGATTTTTAGCGAATTTTGATAAAAGATGATAGAATGCGTGGTTAAAAAGTTCTGGGTCTAATAAAATGTGTATTTAAAATTAATAGTTGACTTTGACTTATAAAATAATCAAATACAATTAAAAAATAATTAGACATAAGCAAGAAAATTGGAAAACAAATTAAATACAAAATTTAAACTCGAGTACAAGCATTAAAAAAAAATAATAAGTGGATTGAAAAAATTTCAAACTAGATTACATAACGCATAGAGAAACATTAGTTTAATTAAAAAAAATTAATTAATACAATATATAGAAAAAAAAAATGGAAAACAATGGACAATAAAGGAAATGCAAGAACATAGAGAGAGAAATAAATGAATACCAGATAGCATTAGAAAAAGTAATGGCCATAAATTTTGAAGAAATAAAAGTGACATTTTGTTTCTTGTAAAAAAAAAAAAGAAAAATGACGGTTGGGAAGATAAATAGTCATCTTAATTATAAATAGAGAAAGTAATGGTTGTAACATATTTATGTGATGATAAGTTTTATGACATTTATATGATTTTTTTAGAGATGCTTGTATTTTCAAATTTTATTAGTTTCTTGTATTTGTATATGATAATTCTAATTTAAAGTATTTCGTATTTATAATTTTCGTTTTTCTTCAATCAATCATTTAATTTTATCTAATTTGAGGCCCTCATCAAAGTGGGGCCTTAGGCGATTGCCTACGCCGCGTATAGTCAAGGCCGGCCCTAAGCATACACTGTAATAAGAAAGAGATTTGCACCACACACCAAATTTCAGTCCATGCGAGTTCTGGGCTCTAAAATATGTGGTTTGATCTAAACAGGATATCAACTTCTGGGGTTACGCCTACATGACCAAATTTGCAGCTCCTTACCTCAGAAACAGCCAGGGTCGAATTGTTGTACTTTCTTCATCTGCATCTTGGTTGCCAGGACCAAGAATGAGTTTCTACAATGTAATTAAGCATTTGTGTTTCTGTTATTCAATTTTTGTATGCATCAATGTACTGAGTTTTATGTACCGTGATATAGGCAAGCAAAGCAGCAGTTGCACAGTTTTTCGAGACACTGAGGATCGAGTTCGGGCCCGATATTGGGATTACTCTTGTCACGCCTGGGTTCATAGAGTCCGAACTTACACAAGGCAAATTCGTAAGTAAAGCTGGAAAACTTGAAGTTGATCAGGATATGAGAGATGTAAGTACTTTGACTATCATCCTATGATGTTCAACTTTAGTACATATATAAGTACTAGCTGGCCCAATTGAATGAAATGATGCCAAAAAATTGTGTGCCTATCTTTATTTGGAATAATGCCATTTAGCACAAATATTGGGTTCAACTAAATCAAAATGAATCACGTGCATTTGCATTTAAATGAATATATGATTTGATGTCATGCCACCTATACTAGTGGTGATGAATATCATTACTCATTTATTATCAAAATAATCTTGTGAGATTATTGAAGATTCGTTTAAATGTCATGCAATTGTCATCTAAACTGGTACTTAAAATTGGTCGTCATGAATAATATTAATCATTTATTTGTTTTCTCCAAAAATAATCTTGTGATTATTGAACTAGGTTCAAGTGAATATAAACCCTATCCAGAGAGTCGAGAGCTGTGCGAAGGCGATCGTTAACAGTGCTTGCCGAGGCGAAAGATACCTGACTGTGCCAGCATGGTTTAGGGTCACTTTCTTTTGGAAGACATTCTGCCCGGAGGTCCTAGAATGGTTCTACAGATTTTTATATATCACCAGCCCTGGGGACTCACCGAAAGAGGCACTTGGCAAAAAGCTAATCGATTTCACAGGAGCAAAGGCGGTTCTCTATCCTGAAACAGTCCAAACACCAGAAACAAAGAAGGATTAAGGTTGTACTGGAAATGGTTTTATTTCTGATGTTCATAAGTTCTGAGTTTACGTAGAGTTGCTCGTGTCTTCTGTTGGTAACACTGATGTTATGTACCCAACAACCATGGTTTGTGTTTGGTTTGAATAAATTTGAACTGTTGTGTGAAATACTGACTGGAGTAAAATATTGTCAAAACTGCTATGATCTTTATAGAGTACTGCTGTACTGGTATCAAAATTGGTTGGGCCATGTGTTGTGGGAGGTCATGCTCAAGGCTGTACATGAAACTTCTGGGGGCTTGAGGCTAATTTTAGAAATTGTTCTCAAATCGTAGTATGCATTTGATTTTCTTTTTTATTTATAAATTCTTACAGAATTAAATTTATTAATTTAAATTTCTGAATAAAATATGACATCAAATATTAATCAAATAATAAAGTTGAAAATGTTCTAAATGATCACTTAAATAATATTAGGAAAATATTTTGATTATTTTTCAAATTGTAGCTTTCATGTAGAGGTTACCGCCTTAAAAAAATAATAATATTTCTTATTTTATTAAAAAAAATTATAAAAGTAATCAATTTTGAACTAAAAGTGCATAAAATAGAATAAAACATAGAACAAAAAATTAAATGCACCACCTTTGAACGTTCACAATTTTTGGTCATTGTCACACTTATATTTCCAACATTTTCATTGTGTTCTTATCTTGAGTCTTTCACCAATTAGTACATTTCTATCAAAAAAATTGTTAAAATGGAATAAAAAGACTTATTCATCCCTTGTATATTTAATAAGAAAAAAAAATCAAAATTATGATTAAATACTCGTCCATCGTTTTAAAGTACAATAACAAAATTTTTGAATGAAAATCGTCATTAAGGACAAGATTTGTTTATTGATGAAATGGTAACAATAAGAATGTGATGAAAAAAATTATGAACATAAATGTAACAATGCATAAAGATTAGTGGCCAATAATATAATTAAAATATAATGTATTTATATTTTAAAAGAAAATGTGATGTTTTAATTATTCTATAAGATAGTGGGACATAGAAAAATGAATATGTCGTTTATATATTATTTCTACAAATATTGTTTGTTTTAGGCATTCTATTTGTTTCTGGAAAATCAATATTTGGGAGGCTCTCGAATTAACACACTCTTTTCATTATTATTTCTCTGCTTTATTTTGTTCATTAATACGGTATTCATATATAATTCCTGAACTATATTCGGCTTAGTTTCCGTTTGATAACGTTGGTTTCATAACTCACAATACCGGTTCGAATTTATCTTAATTTAAGGAGAGAGTTTATGAAGATTCAATAGTCACTTCAACGAGGATGGATTAAGAGATCACGAGGTCATCTCGACCCATGACAAGTCAACTCTACTCCATGAGCTCGACCTAGACACGTCGCTCGACCCGTGACAGGTCAATTCGGCCATGCCCATCGTAGTTCTGGAACATCATCATTACAATTCTAAATATGTCTCCCAAGTGATGTCATCATCATCTAGATGACACTCCCAAAACGACAAATGGCATATATGACGTCAACCCCTCATTTTCAGTCAATTAGAAATCATCAATGACTACACGTGACACGTAATCATGACATCATTGGCTATGATGACTTGGTTCGCCAGACCTTAACAACCAGTTAGCATTCTTAAATTTGGAAGGTGGCATACACTTCTAGGTTCAAACTATAGCTGATGTTACGTTGGGTGGCCAAGTTGATAGATTAGAAGCCCATAAATAGAGGTCAATGATATTCTCCCGGAGGAGGCTCAATATACTTGTGTACACTTCATTTAATTCAATCAATACAAACACGCTCTTTTTTTACTATTTCAGCAATATAGCTTTTATAAATTATTGCTTGAGTTGACAAAAATCGACCTAGTCATTTTTTTACGTCAATAGTTAAAATTATAAATGATATATAAATAGGAATAGAAGTGAAAATCACAAAATGTGTGGATAATCAAAATATTTGATTGAAATTAATTTTTCACTTTGATTAAATATAAATTATTTACAAGTTTCTTTGCAAACGGGGGCTTACTACTTTTATATGAAATTTTATGAGTAGTTATCATTTTTATGGAGAAATCAAAATATTGATATCGTCCTCATCTAAGTTCTTAATGATACACAGTGAAACCCGCTATATCAAGATCAAGGCTCAAAATTTTCATGAATTTGAATTATTAATTATTGACATCTAAATAAATTTATTAAATATGAGGAAAAACAATACACGTTTTAGAAAAAAAGTAAAATAAACGATACACGCTTATTGGAGTGTGTCGGAAAGTTAACTCTTTAAATTTGAAATATGTTCTTTATTATGTACCTGTTTTGTGGGAATTAAAATTAGATTTTTTTTGTAAATTTGAGAAAAATTGAAAAAAATGTGTGATCGAAATGTTCTGAATACTATGAAATATGTGGTTAAAATTAATCATTGATTTTGACTTAAATTAAAACTTAAATTTAATTTCTATCAGACAGAAACTATGTATAAAATGATGGTGGAGATCATGCTTTGATAATTTGGTTTGTATAATAGATAACAGTTTGATAAAAAAGTGATTCAATTGCCATAAATTAAAGTTTTATTATCTATTGATCTATAATATATTAAAGGTTACATAAGTTAATAATCATTCTATGTATGAATTTAATAATTTTATTATCTACCGAAGTTGTTTTTTGCAATTCCATTCAGTCCCAATTTACGAATTCATTTCAATTAATCTTAACAAACTTAGCATGTCATATTAATTAAAACCTACCCCCCCCCCCCCCCCGGTCTAATATAATTTACAAAGATTACATCTCTGGTGTGAACAATAGTCTCTCCAAATTTACATTATCCACAATGATATATGACCATGCAAAGTTACGTAATCACACAAGTCTCTACTTTCCGTGTAAACCAGTGATGAATGGAGAGGTCTCCATTTTCTCCCCCACTCAAAAAAGTGGTTCACCTGCAAAAGCTCATTGCCTCCTCGTTATTCACACGTTAATTAATTTTAATACAAATTTTCTTTTCCTCTAAACTCTGTGTTTCACCTGTTGACATCATTTTCAACAAGTTGTTTGCCTACTGCTATTAAAATAAGCTAATCCTGTCCACAAGTAATGCAACATTAGCTTAAATTTGTTCCCTTTTTACTCTTTTCTGCAAACAAATTAATGAAATTTTACCATTAGCACCAATGGCACTGATGCAAAATGCTGCCCTCCCTTATTGGGAAGATTTGTACAATTTCTCAGACCAAAAAAAGAAGGATTTTTCTGGCATGAATCCTTCACAAAATGTGAGCTTCTATGCTCCAAGAATCAATGGTTGCAGTAGCAGAAAAAGCTTGAAGGTGAATGCAAATGTAAAAGGTTACAAAAAGGTCGAAACAATAAACGGGAAGAAAGTCAATGGGATTCATGTTGAGGGGATGCCATTTTCAGGTCAAACGAACACCGATTTAATTAAAGATAGCAGCATAGAAGAGCCAAATCATGAATACCTTCTTGGCAGGTTTATGGAGGACAGGTTTGTCTATAGACAATCCTTTGTTATAAGGTCTTATGAAATTGGACCAGACAAAACTGCTACAATGGAAACACTTATGAATCTCCTTCAGGTGGGTTTTTCTTTGTTTCTTTGTAGCTGACCCTGAATTTATTGAGAACAATTGCAGTTTTTTGTTGTTCTAATGCAATTAATTAACATGCACAACAGGAGACAGCCCTGAATCATGTGGCAAGCTCAGGTGTTGCTGGCAATGGATTTGGTGCAACCAGGGAAATGAGCCTAAGGAAATTGATTTGGGTCGTTACTCGCATACATGTTCAAGTCGATAAATACAGCTCCTGGTATGCTTTCTTTTTCTCATTATTCGATTAGTAGTAGTAGAAAAGTTCGAGAGACAGATTATATGTCCCTAAGATTAATGATGACCACCTCGTTGATAGAAAATATAAAATGGATTATCGATCCAAAACATTATCAAACCCAAAAAATTCACAAACCTTTTTCACACTTACAAACCATCCACGTTGAAATCAATGAGAACGACTAAATAAAAGCGGAAGCGTACCTTGATCCATATGTTTGATTGTTTGCATGAATGAGTTATGATCTTCTAATTTGATTTGTGATTTTCTCTTCAATTTCGATCTCTGTTGATGAGGATGCAGAAAATCTTGAAAAACACAACAAATTGGAGATCATGACCCCATATAACCATAAGATAATGAATGGTCATTATTTTTCATTTGTTTCAAATCGGCCCCTCATCAATCTAAAACAAACATTCGGTCTCTACACTTTAATTCCATGAAACCTAATACCCATTAGTCAAATTTTATCTTTAGTGGATCACTTTAATTGATTATTATCCTGCAAATAATAGCACTACACATTTTAATATACAACGTGTGGCCCCAAATATGATGAAATTATCCAACAATCTCTCACTGGGCCATACGTATAACCTTACAAATGTGCACAACCTTATGAGCTCAAAATTTTGCTATCATTATTATGGGTATTACAAAACAATTTCGTCCATTAGTCATATTGATATAGTATCAAAGCGATTTTCGTAACATTTAACGTGACTAAATCCATCAATGATCACATACACCCATACAATCAAATGATATAGATCAATCATGGGGGTGTAGCATGGAAATTACATGTTATATGATCCAAACATGTCTATTTCCAACTGATCCAACCTTATTTCTTAAGTGAGATAATCTATGAACTTTAATTAGAGTGGAACTGAACTGAATACTTTATTTCTGAAATAAACCTAATATCCATTGACAAAATATGTGTCTAAAACAGACAACGTTCAAATACAAACTCCCACTAAACTCGTATATTATCAAAAGATGCAACACCCATGTGAGCGTTATGCTCATGAAGAACCTTGGGTGGTAGCCATTTAGTAAATGGATCCGTGATTATGGAGTTTGTCTTAATATGCTTTATAGATATCTAATCACTCTAATTTATTTCCTTACAACTAGGAACTTAATGTCTTAGACTTTGACATCGTCATGTTCCCGTTGAAATACAAGACTGCTATTGTCAAAATGGTCTTTCAAATCCTTCCAAAATATGCAGTCTTATAACAATATTTTGTAGTCATATTCCATGATCGGAATCAGAAAATTCAGTGATCTCCAATTGGTCTGATTTTCCTTAATATGATCATGTAATCCTTAGTTCTCTATAAGTACCGAATAACCTCATGGCTGCTTTCCAAATTTTCATCCCAAAGTTAGTTAAATATCTGCCTAACATTTCAGCAATGAATGCTATATCCAAATGTGTGCAAACCTGGGTATACATTAAATTCCTAATTGCTAAAACATAGAGAATTTCATGTATTTCATTTTCTTTAAATTTATCCATAGGACATTAATCGAGACCAATCTTGTCTGCCTTAACAATATGGGTATCACCTAAATTCCATATCTGCATTTTAAATCTTTTAAGAACCTTATCGATACATCTCTTTTGTGATAATCCAAAAAATACACCAAGAACAATTCTTGTGTATCTATATCTTTAATACAAAAGAGGTATCACTAAGATTTGCTTACTTCCACTGAACTTGTGATATCCACAATCATCAATTGAATGTATCTCGAAACCAAATGAGATAATTATTTGATAAAATTGTAATATCATTTCGGGAAACCAGTTTAAGCCCATAGATGGATTTCTTTAANGTGATTATGGAGTTTGTCTTAATATGCTTTATAGATATCTAATCACTCTAATTTATTTCCTTACAACTAGGAACTTAATGTCTTAGACTTTGACATCGTCATGTTCCCGTTGAAATACAAGACTGCTATTGTCAAAATGGTCTTTCAAATCCTTCCAAAATATGCAGTCTTATAACAATATTTTGTAGTCATATTCCATGATCGGAATCAGAAAATTCAGTGATCTCCAATTGGTCTGATTTTCCTTAATATGATCATGTAATCCTTAGTTCTCTATAAGTACCGAATAACCTCATGGCTGCTTTCCAAATTTTCATCCCAAAGTTAGTTAAATATCTGCCTAACATTTCAGCAATGAATGCTATATCCAAATGTGTGCAAACCTGGGTATACATTAAATTCCTAATTGCTAAAACATAGAGAATTTCATGTATTTCATTTTCTTTAAATTTATCCATAGGACATTAATCGAGACCAATCTTGTCTGCCTTAACAATATGGGTATCACCTAAATTCCATATCTGCATTTTAAATCTTTTAAGAACCTTATCGATACATCTCTTTTGTGATAATCCAAAAAATACACCAAGAACAATTCTTGTGTATCTATATCTTTAATACAAAAGAGGTATCACTAAGATTTGCTTACTTCCACTGAACTTGTGATATCCACAACATCAACTGAATTCATCTCAAAATCAAATGAGATAATTATTTGATAAAATTGTGATACCATTTCGAGAAACCAGCTTAAGCCCATAGATAAATTTCTTTAATTTGTAAACCATCTGATGTAACTTAAGATCAAAATATGTCACATATGGCATAATTGTCCTAAAAGAATTTTCATATAAACCAGAGAAAAATCTCTTTATGTATGACATCAATCCGCTCTTTAGAATTATTCCTTTGCATGGTTTGATGAAAGTTGATTGACCAATCCATGTCATCCTTATTTTCTTGGAAAAAGACTATGAAGTTATCCAAAATTGTCTCTCTCCTTCTTATAGTGGATTTCCTTAACGACAATTGTTCTTGAGATTGTTGAGTTTGTTTTTCTGGAACAATCTCTTGATCGTATATGGGGGATTTTGTAATATTGTTTTGATCCGAAATTGTTTCTTGAACAAGATTTGGAGTAAGAATTTGTCCCTGAACCAAATCATTGTCAATTGCAACAAAAGAAATATATACATATTCTTTATTCAAGACAAAATCATTATACTTATAACCTTTAATGAGATGCCCCTTCATCCTTGGTGGCGCACCAGCGCCACCAATGCCCAAGTGGCGGGGGGCTGCCGGACTGTAGCCCCACCTCGGCCAGCAGCCACACTGATGTAACAGCAGCGGCAGCCCCGCTGCTGCCGGCACCGGTGGCAACGACGGCTGCCCAAATAAAAATAAATTTAATTTTTTATAATTCAGATCTGAAAAACTATATCTATAAAAAATCCGAATTTGTGAAGAAACCCTGTGAATGTAATCATAATAACATGTTTGAATCCATAATAACATGCTAATTTCATATACGCCATGTTGGTATCTCTATTTTGCTGGATTAAAATCAACATTATGGCCGTTGGAGAGAAATGTGGGTCCCACGCCTGAGAGAGAGGGTCGAAAATTGTGGGCTATAACGGTCAAAAAATCCATTTTTTCCCTGAATAATCTGCAACAAACATGCTCATATTAACATACCGAATTGAAGATCATAACATAATATGCTAGAATTTCGTAAAATATCATGAAGTTCAAATAATCCATAAAAATTCAGAATTAAAAAACTTCAATTTCTCACGAATTTCAACTATGGATTGACTCTGATACTACTTGATAGAAAATATAAAAGGGATTATCGATCCAAAACATTATCAAACCCACAAAATTCACAAACCCTTTTCACACATACAAATCATCCATGTTGAAATCAATGAGAACAACTAAATAAAAGCGGAAACGTACCTTGATCCATATGTTTGATTGTTTGCATGAATGAGTTATGATCTTCCAATTTGATTTGTGATCTTCTCTTCAATTTCGATATCTGTTGATGGGGATGCAGAAAATCTTGAAAAATACAACAAATTGGGGACCAGGACCCCATATAACCATAAGATAATGAATGGTCATTATCTTTCATTTGTTTCAAATCGGCCCCTCATCAATCTAAAATAAACATCCGATCTCTACACTTGAATTCGATGAAATCTAATACCCATTAGTCAAAATTCATCTTTAGTAGATCACTTTAATTGACTAATATCCTGTAAATAATAGTACCACACATTTTAATATACAACATGTGGCCCCAAATATGATGAAATTATCCAACACTCGTCCCAAATTTTAAGATGTTAGTTCAGTTTTCATTTCAGAACGTTCTTCTTCATCAAATGTATGTTACATGTACAAATTCCATAAAAGGAGGCAGTGATGCTTGATTCCATGACCTTTTACCTGCTCAAATTTTAGACGAGCCAATTTGACCTTTAATGTTGCAGATCTTTCTTTCTTTCAATCTTTACCTAGTCTGATATCAAAGTGTTATTTCAGGGGTGATGTTGTAGAGATAGATACATGGGTAGATGCAGCTGGAAAAAATGGAATGCGCCGCGACTGGATCATCCGAGACTACAATACTCACAAGATCATAACAAGAGCAACAAGGTTCATCTTATAAATAATTCCACAAATTCCTTAGTTTCTTCTTGTTAAAATTCAAATTGCATGTTTAGTACAAAATAATGAACGAAACTAGACAATATAAACAAAAAAAATTTCTTTTTTTTCTTCCTTAATATCATCAAGTGCTACCTAATAGTCTCTGCCAAACGTACCATAATATCACTACAATTTTCCTATGCAGTACATGGGTGATCATGAATAGAGAAACAAGAAGATTGTGTAAAATCCCTGACGAAGTGAAAAAAGAAGTCCAGCCCTTTTACCTCAATAGAACAGCAATTGCAACAGAAGATATTGACAGTGAAAAAATTGAAAAGGTCACTGATGAATCTGCAGGAAAAATCCGAACCGGTTTGGCTGTAAGTAATTATACATATTTCAAGATTAATTTGATACATTTTCGATTCTTTTTTTTCAAATTATTTAATTGTTTTTCCAGCCTCGATGGAGTGATATGGATGCTAACCAGCATGTTAACAATGTCAAATACATAGGATGGATTTTGGAGGTATGTCATGCAGAATATTGAAATATTTAAGGCCATTTTGGACGTTGATGGACAGTATTATGGAACAAAAAATAAGTTAAAATCTTGTATATTATATTATCTCGTCCCGTTGAATATTGCATACCAATTAACATAATAACATGCCCTCAATGTTTGCATCGATAAAATTAGTATATAGAGCATGTTTGGGAAGTGCTTATTAACTATTTAAAATATAAAGTGATTGAAATGAATGGTGGAAAAGTTATAGTACTTATAGACTTCACAATATATGAATAAAAAAATGACTTAAATGTTCTTAGACAATTTATGAATACCAGACAAAAATGGGCTACGTTATTGGGGTATTTCGATAAACATAAATAGTATTGAATCAAACGTAATACATGTTTGATTGTGCTTAAAAACAACTTCAGGTGCTTTTTCTTGACTTTCTTGGACAGCATGGAGATTTTTAATATATTTTTTGACATTTTATGTGCAGAGTGTGCCAATAAATGTACTGGAAGATTATAATTTAACAAGCATGACTTTAGAGTATCGACGAGAATGCCGTCAGTCCAATGTTCTTGAATCCTTAACAAGCATGGAAACAAAAACAGCTGAAAACAGGCCTAATAATACTGCAAAAGAAGATTTCGAATGCACACATTTGCTTCGTATGGAAGACGATAATGCAGAGATCGTCCGAGCAAGATCAGTATGGAAGTTCAATCAAAATCGCATAATCTGACCGATTAATTTGTTGTGTTTATATGAATATTCGGTCATTTAAATTTTTTTTTTTTTTTTTTTGGGGTTGGGTTTTGTTGGCCTTCTTTCATTCTTATATGTGATATGAAGCTTCCACGTAAAGTTGAGATGTTGAAAATATATTCGTGTCGAAGGCATTTGTATGTAATATAAAGAGTCAGTGGAAAAACAAAAAAGTTTTGAGTCAAAGTTTAAGATTTCAGATTGTTGTTTTCTTTTAGAAAGATTCAAATAATGGAAAATCATAGCCTTCAGTTTCAAATACACGATTATCTCTGTTGAATTCGGATACTTATTAATTGCATCAACATTAGAACGTTAATGTAACTTGTTCATGAGAACTACTTGAACCGGAACATGACGGCCGGTGGCGGATTTACCATGGGGGCAGTGGGGTCCACTGCCACCATAATAAATTTCAAATATGTTATTTTGTCCAAGGTTTTTTAAAGATTTTCAAAAAAGTCCTCATAATTTTTAAAATTTTGCCCCATGATTAAAATTTTATGAAATTTGCCCCACGATTAGTTTCTTCTAACTCCGCCCCCGATGATGACCATACCTCTAAATTTACAATGAAAGAGATAATGCACGAACTAGCAAGGTATTTACGAAAGCAAATGTACAAACTAGCAAGATATTCTTGAGCTATCAATATCCAACTCGCTCTATCTCTGATTTAGCTTTCTTAATACGTTTGTGATACCTTTCTTCGAAAGTCACAACTTTGTTACTTTTTCTTTATATCATGATTTGGTCATCAATTTCTTTCCATTTGTTTGGTCCTAAAAGTGCTGCTTGACTCAATAATTTATGTGAAATACCTAAAGACCATTTTAGGACAAGATTGAATCACATGGCAATAATTCGAAGGAGATTACTTATGTACAACACGACAATACAAAAAATTCTCTTGAATTAGCCTATATTCTATAAAGCTTTCACGGTTGTTAAAACAAAGACTCGTTGTTATGAATTTCAATGTGGCAACATGTATAAACATTGACCAATCCTTATTTCGAGTAACATAATCTCACAATCCATCTTATGCCATTCTTATTGAACAACATGACGTGAAACATGTTTTTTTGGCATATTATAGATTTGAAAATAATGGTCAAAATCTTAATGAGGATAGAATTGACTAACAATTTCGAAAGATTTAGAATTACATAATCATTATGTAACTAGTAATTGAGCAGGACTTTTTTCGCTTTGCCACCATGTTAAATAATTTTCTTTAAGAATTAAATTATAAAAAAATGATTAATTTTATTTAGTTAGCCATGTTTGGAATAGTTTAAAAATTCGATAAAAAATGAAGTAGAAGTCAGAGTCAACAATTAATTTTAGAGCCTGTTTGGTACAGATTCTCATTTTCTACGGTAAATCAATTCTCATTTTCAACCACACATTCTTTAATAAAATAATATTTTCCATCACATCAATATTTTTTTCTTCTTTTTCAACCACACATTTCCCATCATATCACAATTCAAAAATCAATTCTTCCTCCAAAAATCTCTACCATACACACTCTTAATTTCACAGTTTGTGAGACCTACAATTTTCATCAATTTTTTAACCATACATTTGATCGATTTTATCAAAATTTACTAAACAATTGACACGTGACTAAGCGAAACAAGAGCTTAATTAGTACTCCTTCCACAATGTTGTTAGTTTTCAGTTGGGTCACCAACCAACCTTTTGATGTGACAGTAAATCAGAAAATCTTGCAATTGAAGTACTAAAAGATTACTTTACAAAAGCTGTTTTTTTTTTTATTTCACTCTTAAGAAATCTTACTCTTTCATTTATTTATTTTTAAAAAAAAGGGTAATATAGAGCCCAAAAGGTCATCATTAAATCACATAAATTAGAACAGAGAGCAATGAAACACAAGATTTATAAAATGTTTTGAAATGATGTGTGTGAGCGTGTTCGAGTAAATGTTAAAATGAATTTTGTATGTACGAGTTAGAATGAATTTCACGTGATCGAGAATAAGTTGAAATGAAAACACAAATAATATGGGCATGTATGATCACAAAATAAGGTATTTTTCTGTTAATAGACGGTTACAAATTTACTTTTTACCCCTTTTTTCCTAGAGTTATGTTCAGATCGCCCTCCAATTGCAGAGCGCCACATCGACGCCCTGTTTTTGGGCTTGGCTTTGAGCCTAACTAAGAATATTTACCATTTTTCCTAGTGTTGGCATATTCGGTTGCACTTAAGTATTTTATTTTTTAATTTAACTTACTTTCAAGTTAATCGAATGTTTTTTAAAGTTACTTTCCATGAAAAAAAGAAAATAACTAACTTTCAGCAACGTACTCTATTTTTCCACCCTTTCCGATTTCCATTGATCCAAAAGTGTAAATCAATTAGAAGTTGAAGAGATTACGAGTTGGATCTTTAATTATTCAAATAGTACAATACTTGTACTCTGATCACATCTTCCTGGAAAAATCATCAAATCGAAAACGAATACATCCAAAGAAAGGGGAAAAGAGGTGAAAGATAGAGTACCGAAACATAGTTCTTCAACATTTAAAATATAATAGAATCCACATGTTAGTGTTCTATCATTATTTATTGTTCATAATATGTGACAAAATTCCATAGCTTCTCTGTAGATTTCTGGCTATACTGAGAGACCCCAGACATGGCCACATGAAGAGCACAACAAGATGTCTATAGCGAAATGGCCATATGACAGTTACCCCCCCCCCCCCATCCCACCACATGTATTCCCTATTTTACCCCTCATCTTCTCCAACATTTACATAACAGAACATGCATTTGGATTCTCATCACTGAAGATCTGTGGAGGATAGGAATACATGTCTTGAACAATCCTTTGAGGATAGACTTGATAGTTCTGAGGGTAGTATTGGTAGAATTCATTCTTTTTCAACTCCATTTTGGCTTCCTCAACTTCTGCATCTTGTTTAGCTGGTGGTTCTTCACCGCCTCCGCCCCCTTTTTCGCCTTTCTTGGCCTCATTTTCGGCCGGTTTCTTCTCTTCTTTATCGTCTTTCCCTTTTTCCTCCTCCTTTTTGTCTGGCTCAACCTTCACGATCGCAGCCTGTTTTCCGGTCCTCTTGTATACGTAATCGATGAGCTTTTCCGGTTCAATAGCCCCTCTTACTGTCACTTCTGATTTCTTTTGGTCAGGCTCTGCACTTTCCACTCCTACATTCAAATTCTTGGTTAAGCACGAAAAGAACAGTGCATACCGCAGAAAAGAACAGCAAAAAATCCGATTTTAAGCACGACCATTAAAAAAAAGCCATTTTTTTTTCTCAAGCAAAATTTTCACCTTTCATTCTCTGAATCCGCTTTCTGATTTCTTGAGCACAAGCCTCACAGTGCATGTAGACTCTTAACACAACTGAAATCACGGGAGGCTGTAACAAAAAAGAATACACAAATAAAAGCAAAAATAGTGAAAATTAATGGTGAAATAAATAGAAACATGATGAAAAAATTCAACCTCCTCTGTTTTCTCTTCAGTTTTGACCTCCTCCGTTTCTTCAGGTTTCTTTGACTCTTCAGCCGCCGGTGGTGGTGGCGGTATTGGAGAGAGAAGATCCACTTGCCGGTGGCTCTTCCTCTGAACCCTCTCAAGAACCTTAATTGGATCAGCCTTTTCACCTTTCACAACCACCATACTAGTTCTACAATCTGTCGTAACATCTTCCACTCCTAAAATAAATAAACAGAAACAAAAAAAAAATGAAAAATTTCTGTACATTTATAGTAACTGGGAGGTGGGATCAAGATTGAATAAAAAAATCTTAGTTTTTTATTTTAGAAAAAATGAGCAGGTTAAGAATTTTTTTAGAAGGATCTGATTACCATCAAAGCCCTTAAGGCATCTGCGGACTTTCTTGGCACACCCTTCACAATGCATGTAGACTCTTAAGATAATTTCTTGCGGTGGAGGTGGCGGCGCTTCCTCATTTTTGTTTCCTTCTTTCTTTCCGTCGGTTGGTTTCTCATCGTTAGTGGGTTCTTCTTTTTTCACCACCTTTTCCTCCTCAACCTTCTTGGCTTCCTCCGGCTTCTTCTCTTCCTGAAAAAATCAAAACTCCATGAATGTCAATGTAAAACTAAAATTAGCAAAAAAGATAGGAAATTTGGCTTTAAAAAAAAATGTAAAAAAGCGATACCTTCCCCATGTATCAAATGGACTTGAAATGGAAATCACACTTGTAGAAAACGCAGATACACCTTCAGTGCGTGTTTTCTCTCTGGGACACAGAGTTTCTTCTTCTGACTGTCAGAGTGAGTAATAGTCGCAGGGTGTATTAGCATCAGATCCAGAGTCACAATCCTACTCGGTGACTACCCATTTGTTATATAAGCGTGTTGGTTCGCGGTGCATAGCAAATCAAAAATCTGATTACGAAACAATTAATATTAGAGTCAAGATTTTGCATATTTTAGTTAAATTCGCTTAATTTGAAAAAATTATGTGTGTACCGCATATCATTTCAAGATTGACTGAATTCAATTGAAATCTGAATAATTTGAGAACAAATTGTGAGTATCAATTCTATTCAACATTTAATTGGGTTGACTGAATTTGAATAATCTAGAAAGAGTTGTGTATGTCAATTGCTATTTCACTCTATTATGACATAAATGCAACAACTCACTCACATATTATAATTAAATTACTCGTATTTATTGACTTTATATTTGAATATTGAATGTTTCAAAATTAATAATCTTCATTAATTTATATATTTTCAAAAATTATATTACCAAAAACATATTATGGTCATTAATTTTCAGAAAGAAAAAAGTCAATATTATCGAGTACTGTATCATTCACTTGACGAAATAAATCATGAATAAATGAAACGTATTATAGCTACCAACATTAAAGTACATAGCTTTATAAGCCGAACTCGGAAAAATAATAAATGTAAGTATTTAGTACAATTGGGGTGGTCCATAACTTTGTACACAACAGCTAGGCACCTGTATAAATTCATTATGAGAAATTGGCTTCTCGTGGCAATTGTTAGGTATATACATTCACTTCGGTAGTTATGAAATTAAAATGAAAATAAATGTTGAATCAATAATTAGCACATAACGTCCACACATTTCATTGTTATTGTGGAAAACGTTCATACCTTTCTTTTTTGGCATTTTCACCTCTATTTTCACATTTCATTTCGCAAAATGTTCTTTTAATTTATTTTCTCAATTAAAGGAAAAAACTAATTGCAACCATACTCTCAATTTTTTAAATGTGCAAATGAGTCTCAAATAAATTATTAAAAGGGTAATTAGTACATAATATCGTTATCTTTCACCATTATTGAAAAAAAAAATCCCTATCATTCATTTTTTTGGCATTTTCACTTTTAATTACACATTTAATTGTGCAAATCATCATTTGCATCAATTTTCATTCAATTTTTCAATAAAGAACTGTGAAACAATGAATATACCCTCATATTTAAATAAAAATGTATTTTTTTTTAATTTTTAATTTTTTTAATAATTTATTTGGACTCGTTTACACTTTTTAATTTTTTTAACATTTCTAAATAAATTTAATTGGGATTCATTTGCATTTTTAAAAAAAAAATTGGGACTATGATTGCAATTAATTCTTTCATTTTTTATTTAAATATGAGGGTATATTCGTCATTTCACAGTTTTTTATTGATAAATTGAATGAAAATGGATAGTAATAATATTTTGGACAATTAAATGTGTAATGAAGGGTGAAAATATCAACACAATAAAAGATATGGACTTTTTTTGTAATAATAGTGAAAGATATGGATATTATGTGCTAATTACTCTTTTAATAATTTATTTGAGACTTGTTTGCATTTTTTCAAAAATAAAAAAATAAAAAATTGGGACTATGATTGCAATTAATTTTTTTCTTTTTTCTTTTGTTTTATTTAAAGAGAGATAAATTTATTTCACACTTTTTAATTGAGAAAATGGATGAAAACGACTTTTTTGCACAATGAAATGTGGAAATAAGGGTAAATGTCAAAAATGAAAAGTAATGACGTTTTCCACAATAACAATGTAAGGTGGAGGTGTTATGTGCCAATTAACCTTTTTTTTTTCCTTAATTTAATTTACTTTTTGGTCAGTTAACCTTCAATCAAATCTCAATTTTGTTCACTCAACTCTATATGTTGTAACTAGATCACTCAATTTCAATGTTAGTAATTTAGTTAGCTCCGATTATTAAATTTATAGTCTGTCTGGCCACGCTACAACAGGGATGGAAAATTGATTATTGTACCCTTTTTTTTCAAACCACTAGATCTACAATGAGAGAGGTGGTAAAAATTGCGGCTCTCAACGGCAATATTTCTGCTGCCAACGGGTTCATTCCTGCTGAAAAGCAGAAACAGACAACCTGTTAATATCTCAATCCTATATGAGCAGTGTAAATTGACAAAACTAATGTTTCTTATGTATAAATGTAACTATGTCACCTAATATAGTTGTGACTACAAAATTAAAAATATAACCCACTTGACTAGATCTACTAGATGAAAATTTATTATGACATTTTGTAGCCACAAATTAATTATAGGGCATGTTTAGCTAGACATGAAAGACAAGTAAATTACCATCGAATCAAGTGAAATCATACAATATTTTTTTCTTTATCAATTTCAATTCCTAATCTAAACAAATATATTAATTTATATCATCATAGATATCGTACCTCTATTGGTAGGTATGTACCTCGGTTGAAGACGTGTTTGGATGAATTTCCTTAAATGCACGCTTTCTGCAGTTAATAGCTGCAACTCAACACCGACTATGAAAATTACTATTCATCTTCATGTTGTTTCTAAATTATAAACTTAGTTTGCAAGAACTACTCTAGAATGTTCTTCTTTGTCTGAATTAAATTGAAGTTGAGCATGCTTATTGTCGACATCCTCAATACAAAAAAAGCCATTTTCTGTAATGTTGTTGTGCTGAGTAGAGCCAATTTTTTTAAATTTCTAAGTGAAGTCATTTCCACATTAATTACAATATGCTTTCATAATTTACTCATCATTCTCAAACATCTTCTTTTTCTTGAAGTGTTTTAAAATTTAGAAGTAAGTTTAAGAGCTTTTGCCTTCTTTCTTCTCTTTGTAGAGATCGATTCTTCCATATAGTCTCATGCTCAATGCTGTCGCTTCAGTAGTACCTATATTTTTCGAATTTGGAACATCTCGGGCTTTAGAAAAGTTGTAGATATAAGTATTGGAACTACCGAATAATTAGTTAGTATCTTCATTGGGGTTCATGAATCTAGTGTAATTTATAACGAATTCTTTAGAAAATTCAGGAATAAAGAATATGGGAAATATAAATAATTGATGGAAGGCAAGTTGAAATTGAAGAAGTATCTGGACTAAACAAACAACTGTAAAAAATATAAAATTGTAAAATTATATTATTAAAAAGATGAGAATGATATATTAGCGAAAAATCTAAAATGTAGTGAAATTGATTTACCACTCATCTCTATATATTCACATCAAATCCAAAAATAAAAAAATAAAATTTGAAATGGGTGCTTGATTTGATGGCACTCACCGCAAAAAGTGGCCATGTAGATTGCCCCGTTCAAGTGAGAGGCTCATTGTCGGTTTGCACAGTTTTTTTGTTGATTATTAAGACAAGTGACTTGTACTGCTTAACATTCCTACCTCCTTATCAATTTGACTTAGACGGTAGAGGTTAGGGTTTAATTTGTTAAAAACATGAATGGTCAAATTTTATATGGTGTTGTGCGTGCTATCCCAACCTTTCATTTGTCTTTTCCAAGAGCCAAAATTGGATGAGAATCCAAGATTGAGGACAAACTTGTATTGAAAATTAAAGTTCTAGGAGTTAAATGCGGGCCAAGTTGCAACCGACCTCAAAGGTTGATGATTGCACGTGCAAATTAGCAATTTTTATTGGTTCACAAATTATTGACCACATACCCCATGCAACAAGCAAGTGGATAGTCTCTCTCTTTATAGAAGAGACGTAAATGTCTCTGATTCATGCAAGATAAGAGAAGATATGCTCCACCGACATGACTTATCCCGACATAAATATATATATCAGATAACTTATTATAGATAAAAATACTTTGGACATGAGCTAATTAGAGATAAAACCTAATTAATTCAATCATGCTTTAGGATTGGGAGGATTTGAAATCCAACTAATATAGAAATTTAGCACATATATATTTAACATGAAAGCGAAACCAATTAGTCTTCGATCGACAAATGACCATCATGAAAATCAGGGACGAATCCAGAAAAAAATTGAACACGGACTTCAAAAAAAAAATTTACACATAAAAAAATTTTACTAATATTTTTTTTTTACTTAGGATTTGAGCTGGAGGGACGGGTTGTAGCAGAAGCTGGCCCGTCCTTGGGTCCGCCCCTGACGAAAATTATTTAAATCTCGAGATTTATATCTAAGAGTTACTTAAGAAATTAAAAAGTAGAATAATCTACCATGTTTTTAATTTAAAATTGTTTTTGTGATAGTCAAGATAAAATTTGGCATAGCAAACTAAAAGTGTCAATTCTATTTTATTTTTACCACTAAATTCAATTTTTAGAATGCTCATTGCACACCATTTTGCTTACTCATATGTTTTCCATTATAGATATACATAATGGTGAGGATAAGGCTATTGTCTTGTTCATAAATCATAGAGGAAAGAGAGAGAGAGACTTGTCTTCGTCCGCTTTAAGGTTACATGTACTCATATATTCAATAAATAATTCATAAAATAATAGATAATATTATTTCGTTGAGAATCTGAGTACAAATTAATTTATTATCCTCACATCTTATGGAACTCATTACTCTTCTCGTTATAATTTCCTTATAAATTACTTTACTTATTTCTTTAGTTTTTTCACATCATAAAAGATTTTTTTCCATTTCTTTGAATCACCTCTTCGTAATGAATTAAGATAGCAAAAAATAACTGATGTAGAGAGCAACCTCGAACTACTGAGGAATCCAATTAGGAATTCAAGAAAGTGGGGTGGGTGGGGAGAGAGAGATAAGTTTGAGGATTGGATGTTTCGGCATTCATGTTTGATCCGAAACATTAATTAATGGAAAATTGCTGGAAACAAACGTCTTTTTCTTTAAAAATAATGATGCTTGT